GGCTGCATGCTGGCTGGGCGCTGGCGACTTCAGGCGATCCTGGGCGGCAGCAGCGATTTCCGGCGGCGGTCGGCGGTGGAGGCTTGCCGGAATGTGTAGACCTTCAAGGTTTGAAATAAATCACTTTAAGATCTTTTAACGGATTACCTTAACACCTACTTCGACTAATCGTGGTGGTGCAATTAATCGAAACTCCCGAACTCTCAAATATGTGTATGCTCGCTTTTCCTCTCTTGGAAGACCTCAAAGTCGACCAACATCAATAATTGGGGAAGAGGTTGGGATATGGTGTATTTATAGGCTCCATTAGGGACCTTAAGAAAGTGCTAAATATGAGTTTATTCCATCAGGCTTAGGAATCATAATCATGCTCCATATCCTTTCCCATGTAGAAGTTTTATTCCTTCTAACCTCATCACCTTCTAGAAGACTCCTTAGTCTCCTAACCCTAGGTAATATTCTAGAAGGAATATTCATCACTTAATGGAATCTAAAATATGGAATATAATTAATTCCTAAAATCCTAATTAGAATTAAATAATAAAATATCCCCTAGAGTAATATTATTGCTCTCTCCAATTTAGCTCCAATTTATTCAATAAATCAAACCTCCAAATGATTAATTAATACATTAATTAATTAATCTAATTGACCGATTTACCTCTCTATATTTAAGATTTAACGTCCATCAATTAATCTAATTACTGACAATTAAATTAAATTGACTTTTTTCTTTTTCGAAATTAGTACAACTCAGTTCGTTAATCATTATATCAGATAATTATCCACCTGCAGGGTTTAACGTAATATTCATTCCTGAGCTCATTTCGGGGACGTCATCAACCCAGCACACTGGGACATAGTGACTGTCATCCTAAGATAGCGAGTATGTCATCCTAACAAAATAGGAATCACCCTTGCTAAATCAAATAAATAAGTAATAAATGTATATGCCTATTTTATATTATCTTACAGTTTAAGAGAACGCATGAATCACTGAAGGTCTAGATTATAACCACGATCAGTAAATCTTATAATCTTATCATAAGTACTAGTGTAACCCATCCGTCAAAGATCAACTGAATAAAGACTACACTACAGTCTTTATCCAACAGGGGTCTCACTGTCTGTCTAAAACTGTGAACATTAAGTTTATATTTTACAAGGAACCGATAATATGATCTTACTGTTCGACACGACAAACCATATTATCTACAATATAAAATAATGGAGTTATGATTGCATAAATAAATAAACTGCAAACATAAATATTTTGACCAAAACACGATTGCCAGATCAAAATGGAATTGTTTATATCTGAAAGCCAAGCTTTTACAATATATCTAACAAAGGCGACGGTGAAAGGGCGCCTTTAATTGGTGCGAAGTACGAGAAGGTGCGGTTCACGGAGCAATGATGACAGTCTGACAAGCAACAGGACAGGTCTGACAGGTGGCAGGTTCGAATTTTGAAATACAAAGTGGCGACAGAGAGAGAAAGAGGTCGAAAAGCAGGAAGGGACAGGTCGAGTGGTCGATAAGTTGCGAGCGTTACAACAACTACATAGATGGAGGAAAATCTACTCTTAGATCGAGTCATTCAGACTCGACTAGAGTGGGGGGACTAGATGATAAGGGATATTATACCTAAGAAAGTAAACCGATCGAGCAGGCCGGTCGAATAAACCGAGTAAATCACCCGGTCGAGCAAGATTCGAACGAGGTGGTTGTGGTCGAACATCATAGGAACAAGAGCTTCTGGATTGAAAGACACCTTAAATGGACTTCGGTACGAAAAGAGTAGGTCGAGCCAAAGCTCTCGAATGGTCTGGTCGGAACTCGACCTATAGCATAAAGTTGACCTAGAATTGGTCGAGCATTCGAGAAGATCTCTGGGAATCAAAACCCCGCGCGATGAGCACACGTGGTGGGACATGATTGGCCTATACCTTATAATCGTTTGATTTTGGCAGCTGAGTTAGCACCTCCGGGCAACCCCTAGAACATGTACCTCACCCTTATATATAGGGGTAAGACTTGCGATTTTGGCCATGACGTTCTATTATACTCTTGAGAATTGATCTCATTCACATACTCATTTAAGTATTGGAGGCTCTTAACCGAAAACTCCTTCGGTGTGAAAGTTTTTACAAATACTCGACGCCGACGAAGAAGGCGAAGACAGACTGATTTTCAGCCGGTCGAAGTGTCAGACGTTACCATATCGTAAATCAACTAATATTTTGATGAGTTTGTGTACTTTGATAACAGAATAATATAACAGTAGATATGTAATTATTTTTGGTTTAGCTTGGCCGTTGGGTAATTTTCTCATACTCTAAATCTAATTTAGCCGTCAATATTAGTATAACTAAATGTTAAGATTGGTTCCTAGAATTAGAAGAGTATTATTTTCATTGTTAAAGCTATTTGCATTAAATATTAAGGTGTAAATGTATTTTACCATATTTGCTAAATATTTTTATATTATACATGGTTCTACCTTTATTATATTCTTGAGTTAATAATTGTGCTATTTTTATTATTTATTGTTTTGAATTTAATATTCATATATATTAAACAGATACATGATATTTTTTTATTTATCACCCATTTTAAATAATATATCAAATTAGTTTTCTTTCTGTAATTTTTTTTACACCTTATATCATACACAAAACTATTGATAATTATTTCTTCATATCAAATTAAGATGATATCAATGTCAATATAATAAACATAGCATAAAATAACGCATAAATGTAAATTTCATACATGTTTCAATTATTTGAAAATAATATAAATGATTGTATTATTTCAAGCATAAAATTAATGAGTTTTAATAGTATATTGTAATATTCATTTGTCATGTTAGAAAAAACATTGATGCCATCGATTTAAAGTTAAATTCCAGCCAAATTTGAAATATTTGAACAAGGTTAAATTTTTTTTGAAATTTATTAAACTATCCTTTTAAACTTTAAATATAATTTTTAAGAATATAAATAAAACATGAAAAATAAATTATTTTTTTTAAATGAAAAAACATAGATCACATCGATTTAGAGTTGAATTACTTATTTATTTAAACAAAGGTTAAATTTATTGTGATTTATTAAACTATTCATTTGAAACTCTAAATATAATTTTTAAGAATATAAATAAAAGGTAAAAACATCAAAATATAAAATAATTTTCTTAATAAAATAAAAATATGAGCAATATTTTCTCTATAAAATAATGTTAAAGTTAAAAAGAAAGAAACATCTCAGTATAAATTAAAAATATTGTATTTCAATGTGAAAAATATTTTTAGTTTAAAAACAAAATCACTAGAATATTTTTCGTGATTTGCGTGATTTGGCTTCAGCTGCTATAATATGCGACTATAAATTTATCTATGCTCAAACTCTTTTTCTTAATAGGTAAGTTAAACAAAAATATTATAAATGCAAGTGAAACAAAAATATAACCCTATAACTCTTTTTCTTATTCTCGAAATTTGTAATGAACTCAGTAAATATAGTTAATTATTATAAAATTAAAATATTTTGGGCAAAACATTTAGTTTTTTTTTTTCATCACGATTGTTGTCTTATTTACTCATTTATTGAATTGGAATTTTATTTTCATATTATTTTCCCATTTATAGAGTTAATTGCATGTATCTAGAATGTAATACACATTGCTTAGCAGTAGTGTTTTACTATCCGTCCATATTGATCTTGCCCATTCAATAATTATAATCCTTCCAGAGTAATGTACATATTTTTTTTCCTTCTATTAGTTTCCTTAAATTTTATGCTATAATATATATAGCCTATGACATCAACCTTAACCGCGTCAGCCAATAAATACTCCACGTCACGGTTCACGCGTCTAAGAAACTCGGATGAGATAATTCAATTTTAAAAAATCCAGACAACATAGGAAAAAAAGTAATGTCGGTCTTCTAATCCAATTCAAATTTTAAAAATCGAAAACAGAGAAACTGAATCGTACGTTTCGCTCTAAAAATTTATCCACCTTCCCATATATCGTCCCCTAAGCTCCTATAAATACACGACAAACCCGTTCAAAAGTCAAAACCCCAAACTGTACATAAGACTCACAATTCGTTCATTAATTCATTCTGGAGATGATGGTCGAACTCAATCAAGCACATATTAGCGATGCTTGGAAAAGCGAGTTATGCGTGCCGGACGATAATCTTGAAGACATAGAATTTTTCCCCAACTTTTTGGATGATTTGATTCAATTGTCGGCTCATGACCCTAATTTTGATGATATCGACCAATTAGATGGTATTTACTGTGAAGATGATTTGTGGAAAGCTTACGAGCCAGAGACTAAAGTTTCCCGACATTATTCTTCGGAACGAGAATTTTCTAATAATTCTCAAGAAGGAGAATTTGAATACGGTTTTTTGTACGGGCCAAAAATAAAAGAGAGAGCTTCCCGAAAACAGACGAGGAAATCGGGCTTGTCAATATCGAGAAGGAGATGTAGCCACTGCCAGACGGAGAAGACCCCACAGTGGAGAATGGGCCCGAATGGGCCGAGGACTTTGTGCAATGCCTGTGGAGTGAGGTACAAGTCGGGCCGCCTGCTTCCGGAATACCGCCCAGTCGCCAGCCCAAGTTTCGATAGCAAAAAACATTCCAACTTTCATAGGAAGATAGTCGAGAAGAAGCAAGTGAATGGTTAATTTGATTTGATTTTGTTTATAGGAAATAGATGTTTTCTTTGGGTAGAATTAATGTTGATTGATTTTTCTAGATTAGGATATTAGCGTAGCGATTCAAGATTTATTTGTTGGAAAAATAGTTAAATAGTAAGTTTGATTTTTTAATTATATAGTTCAACTTATTAATCTAAGAAATATATTACTATATAATAGAAAGAGAGATTTATTTAGATTAATATTAAAATTTTCGCTTGCAATTTTTAAATTACTATTTTTAGTTTTTTTTTTCTTGAAAAATGGCGACTAAATGAAAATACGAATTTAAGTTCAGAAACTTTGTTATTTGATAAAAATATTGTGTGAACTTTAATTCTTAAAAATATGGGCAATGATTTATTTCAATTGAAGATCCGAACTTATTTTTTTGGCAATATATTCAAAATCACTTTCATATCTAATTAGACATCCTTTTTTGGCAATATATTCAAAATCATTTTACCAAAAAATATTTGAAATTTTTTGAAATATTTTTGAAAAGTCATGTCAATTTAATTGTTAAATATTTTTTTATCTATATTTATCTAACTACAAATCTCATATTTTATGGTCACAACTAAATATTTGTATTTATCTAATAAAAATGTTAATAATAATTTTCATATTTCAGATTTTTCAACATAATTGGTGATTTTTTTCTATATTTATCTAACTACAAAATATTTTTAAAGTTTGGAAAGAATCTCATATTATGTGGATTCATGTAGATATATTTTTTTTTTCTATACATCCACTGAACAATTAGTTAGGATAAATATTGAAATAAGAAACAAATCAGAAGAATATCATAAAAAGTAGATATCATACGAATTAATATTGGAAAAAAAATTCGATAAGATGAAATCACACGATATATTTACAAATTTGATGAGATTTAAATTTGAATGTCCTCACACAACAAATTTAGTGATATTTAATTTTGAATATAAAATCAGTTGAATGATTTTTTTAAATATAAAATATAATCATCCAACCAAGTTAAGGAATGGTTCTATCTATACCAACTTTAATTTAATGATATTTAATTTTGAATATAAAATCAATCATGATTTATTTGAAATATAATCATACAACAAAGTTAATGAATAGTCATAATCATATAACAAAGTTAATGAATAGTTCTATATATACTAATTTTATTTTATTTTATTTTTTTATTGTATATGTACCAATTTATCTTATCTTATTTTTAATTTTCTTTAAAGACAAAGTCCTAAACAATATAAAATTTTCCATTACAATACATATAAATTATAGCTTTAAAAATATTAAGAGAAAAATTTTAACTACATATATGAATTAAAAGATCAACTTTTATAAATGTAATAAAAGACTTTCGATTCATAAGATTTAAACTCTCAAAGTTAAGAGATAACAGAGTCTAACATCACATACTAACATAAACTTAATAATTCAAAGATATCGAACATCATAAATTAATGTGGGATAATTTTTAATAATTTTTTAGATATGTCATGTTATATAACATTTTTTATACTTTTAATATTTTATAAGGACATGTTTTACTTGTTTTTACAAAGTTAATTTTCATAACACATTTTGAAAAAATTAACATATTATATTACATAATGACTCTATATTTTTAATTTATAAATATTATTTATCAATACATAGGAATACCGACTTTTTCGTACACTTTTATACATAGTGATTCATTTCCGTATTTATCTAACTAGCAACCACTATCTTATAAGAATCTAACTTGTTCGTACATTTTTATACAAATTAATTCGTTTTCGTATTTATGTAAACAAACGTTATAATTAAAATTATAAAAATAGTATTTTATTTCATAAAGTTTAAATATTACACTCATACAAATTATATTTTAAATGGTTGAATATTATAAAGTTGAAGATATTTTAAATATTAGATCATGGAAGAATATTGTATAAATATAAAATATAATTACAATACAATCAAACTTGAAGAAAAAAACAAATTAATTTAAAATTAAATTTTCGAGTTGTATATATGTTAGTGTGTGTGGTTAAAAAGTAATCATTTTAACAAATTGAGTATAAAATTAGAGTATTATTTTAAATAATTATTATTATTATTTTCTAAGTTATTAGTTGTATATTTAATTTATTATTATTCTATCATAAGAATATATATTTCTTCACGTCTTTATTTTGATACAAATATTTAACTTTTAAGTGCCCGTGATGTTCACTGGTGCTATTAACTGTCGAATAAATTAAAAAAAAAAAAATTTATTATCAATTATTTGTAGTTTTTTAATTCACAATAAGAATTTAATTTTTTTTCACTTTTTGTTGAATAATTAGTATTTTATGAAACACCCGTGGAGTTCACGAGCATTATACTAGTATAAAAGTGATTTGGGAAAAATGAAACTTAAAAAATGGCTATAATAATTAATGAATATACTTTTTAGGATGAGTTTGAGCCTTGAATGTGTTCAAAATACTAACAAGATCATCATACCAATTTTGTGTGGGCTAAATGTGAATTTAAAATTATCATTAAGTCTATTATTCATATTCCTATAAATTTGACAATCATAATTTGTTCAACATAGATACGTAGAAATATGTATTTTTAAATTGAAATGTCATAATATAAAAACAAATTTAAAAAATACATTTTCTTAGAAAATGACGTCTAACAATTAGAGCATCTCCAACTCTGCTCTATCTCTCGGAAAATGCACTACACTAGCACAAAAATCTCTCCAACCGTGCATTAGAATCTTGCGCTCGAGTAGAGAATTGAACAGTGATGCACCACGTTTGGCGCAACACGGTAGCAACGCTACATTTATGTATTTTTAATGTAATATTCATGATAAAAGTTTGTATAATATGTATTAGTAAATGTATTTTTATGCTAAATAACTTTGTGCCATGTATTTTTTATGTGAAATAATTTTGTGCTTTCTATTTATTAATGTATTATAATTTTATTTTATAATTATTTAATATTAAAAAGATACCGTATGAATAAAAATTAACAAAATAAAAAAGAAGATTTTATTAAAATCAAAAGTTTACTAACACATATTTTTATTATTTGAGTAATAAAAAATTATATAAGATTAAATATATATTTATATACTAATTTATTTGAAATAAAAATAAATAAAAAAATAATATATTTAATATAGATTAAAATACCGCCCATGAAAGTTGAAGGCAACTCTACTATAAAATAGAGTTAGAGTGGAAAGATGATCTTATACAACGTCATTCATACAATGAGAAATGAATTATGAAGCCCTACTACCCTAATGAAAGTGGGTTGTCGCCGCCACCGTGAGAAAATGACCCCTCAACTTCCCACGTCAGGCCGTCCCCAGGAGAGCACTCTATCTATATTCAGATATACCCAAACACACGCACAAACACGAACAATTATTGAGTCAACGCACTCTACATATAATAAAGTCAAATGATAAAACCAACTACCACCAAATCCCAATAATGATCCTCAACGTCATTTCACATTCAAATCCCACCCAAAAACCCATTCCCCGATAAACTGAACCCCGGACCCGCCCCCGCATGGGCTCCTCCTCCTCCTCCTCCGCCGCCGCCGCCGCCGCCGCCGCCGCCGCCGCCGCCTTCTTATTACTCCTCTTTCTCTCGCCCGCGCTCTCCGCCCCGGTCTCATTCCTCCCCATCGCTCCTAACTTCACCGCCTCCTACCTCCGCTTCGTCGACACCTCTGGCGCTTTCCTGGCCTCACCAAACAGCACCTTCCAGGCCCGAATAGCCACCCCCAAGCCCGAATCCAAATCCTTCCACCTCCTCGTCTCCCACGTTCCCTCCAACACCATCGTCTGGTCCGCAAACCGCAACAACCCCGTTTCCAGCTCCTCCGAGCTCCGTCTCACATCAAACGGCCTCGATCTGTTCGACGATGCCGGCCGTCCCGTTTGGTCGGCATCTCTTAATCTCTCTTCATCTATTTCATCGATGCGGCTTCTGGAATCGGGTAACTTAGTCTTGCTTGACCACGCCAACAATACCGTCTGGCAGAGTTTCGATTTCCCGGCCGACGTGCTCGTGCCCGGCCAGAAACTGCCCGTCGGAAAAAATCTGACGTCCTCCGCAGGGGATGGGGACCTATCAGAGGGAGGCTACAGATTCGCTATCGCAAACAACGACGCCGTGCTGACGTGGAACGAGATGTGGTACTGGGAACTGTCGATGGATGGGAGCGCTTTCCGGGACACGGATCTCCCTGCCGGGCAATTGGTGATGAACTCTACCGGGCTGTTCTTGATGGGGGCAAATCGGGAAGAGATCGTTATCAAAGTGATCTTTGATTTTGATAGCTCGACATCCGGAAATTCTTCGGATTTTCAGATCGTGAGGCTAGATCCAGATGGCGTGTTGAGAATCCTGAGCTTTGGTGGTGACGAATCAAATAGTCAACTATTTGCCGGCCCGAACAATAGGTGCCAGGTCCCGTTCATATGCGGGAGGCTCGGTGTTTGTACTGATAATGGAGGTTCATGCCAGTGTGCTCCAGCCTTTCACACAGATCCGAATACAAATACGGGAGATTGTGTGCCGTCAGATCCTTCTCTCGCCCTTTTGCCATCAGTTTCGTGCAACGCCTCATTCTCACCATCGTCCAGTGGTGCGGCTATTAAGTATTTGAATTTAACGAGTGATTTGGATTATTTCGCCAATTATTTCATGAATTTCGTCACGCACAACACGAATCTTTCGGCATGTCAGAGTCTCTGTTCGGCCGACTGCTCCTGCCAGGGCGTGTTCTACAGCCAAGGCTCCGACTCGTGTTACTTTATCCGAAACTACTTAGGTTCTCTGTTTACAAAAACGAGCCCCACCGATCGTGTGGGGTACGTCAAGACAGAAGTTGTTGGAATCACAAAAGGCTATTCCACAAACCACAGAGAAAAATCGGGTTCCTCAATTTTACCGATAGTTCTGCTGCCGTCGTCCGGTGTTGTGTTAGTTGCCCTCATTGCAGCCCTCATTTGTTTTTGTTCCAGGAGAAAAAGACTAAATTGGCAAAAATTCCAAAATTCAAAACACGACTCTCATCAATTAGCCGACGAAGAGAATGAGATGGATCTTGTGTCCATCCCAGGCCTTCCTGTCCGGTTCGACTACCAAGAGCTCGTCGAGTCAACCAGACAATTTTCCACCCAAATAGGTTCGGGAGGATTCGGCACGGTATACAAAGGAACTCTCAAGGAAGGAACAGAAGTCGCAGTTAAAAAAATCACTTGCTTGGGCGCGCAAGGGAAGCGTGAATTCTTAACCGAGATTGCCGTCATCGGCAAAATCCACCACGTCAACCTTGTTAAACTGAAAGGCTTCTGCGCGAGCAGAGGGCAGAGATTCTTGGTGTACGAGTACATGAATCGAGGCTCGTTGGATAAAACCCTTTTCCGTGATGATGACGTGGACACGCTTGATTGGAAGGAAAGAGTCGAGATTGCGGTGGGGACCGCTAGAGGGCTCTCGTACCTCCACTCAGGCTGCGAGCACAAGATAATCCACTGCGACATAAAGCCCGAGAACATCCTCTTACACGACAACAACGGCGTGAAGATCTCGGATTTCGGGCTCTCGAAGCTTTTGGGCCCGGAACAGTCGGCCCTCTTCACGACCATGAGGGGTACGCGGGGCTACCTTGCGCCCGAGTGGCTGACGAGCGCTTCCATCTCGGATCGTACGGACGTTTATAGCTACGGAATGCTGCTGCTCGAGATTGTGAGGGGGAAGAAAAACTCGTGCCCTCATAACGATATTAGAAATAACAGAATGGTGTATTTCCCGTTGTTTGCGTTGGAAATGCACGAGAGTGGGAGGTATTTAGAAGTTTTGGACATGAGGTTAGGGGGACAGGTGGCGGAAGAGGAGGCTGAGAGGTTGGTTCGAGTGGCGCTGTGTTGCGTGCATGAGGAGCCGAATAAGAGGCCGTCGATGAAGAATGTGGTGGGTATGCTGGAAGGAGGGGTGCCGTTGGGGGAGCCTAGGGTAGAGTCATTGAGTTTCTTGAGGTTTTATGGACGGAGGTTTACGGAGGAGTCTACTTTGGGGGGAAATGGGAGTGAGTTGATGATGATGCGTGGGCGGACGGGCAGCGGTAGTGGTGACACTTCGTATAATAATACGCTGTCCTACTTGTCATCACAGGATGTCTCGGGCCCGAGATAGCATCATTCTTTTTTGTTGTGTTTCTGATTGTTTGAATCCTTTCAAGACATATGAATATTCTTTGTTGCTTAAGTGTTGTGGCAGCTGGTAGGGAAAGAGGTGTATATAACGGATAGAATATATTTGTCTTTTACTACTACTCTTCTCAATTGTTCTTTACAAAAATTGGTATCGGATCTAAGTTCGCAAAAATAAAATCCATGTGGCGCGCAATTAAAAAAGAAAAATGCTTCAATTAGATAATAAATGTATATACAGGTGTATATAACACTTAGATGGAGTGGGGTCTACTTGATATTTTATTTTTAGCAGAACCCACTTGATAACGCAAAACACTCCGACCGGCTTGAAATCGGCTCGTCCTCCTTCTCGCCGTTAGAACGCTGCGTACCTGCAAAGAACTCTCACACCGGGGGTTTTTTCGGTGAAGAGCCTCCGATGCTTAAGTCAGTATGTGTTTCACTCAATTCTCAAGAGTAAATGGATAAATCGTAGGTCACAAGAAAGGCTCACTCATATATATATATATATATATATATATATATATATATAGGAGTGAGATACCTGCCCTAGAAGCTGCCCGCGCGCTTCCTCGCGTCTACATCACGCTCTCGATTGCTCTTCACTCGCCAGGTGGTCGATCAGATAAGCTCTCCTTTAGTAGGTCGATCTTCGACAAGGTGTGCTCCGATGTTCGACCACTTCCTTTCGGTTTGCTATTTCTTGACCGACGTGGCATTTCTCGTATTGGGCTTGTACGACCGGCCTAATGAACCGGTATATTCCTTGGGTATATAATATCCCATATCATCTAGTCCCCGCACTCTAGTCGAGTCTAAATGACTCGATCTAAGAGTGAATTTGCGTCTGCCTCTTTAGTCTGTTGATCTCTCGATCATCTGACTGGATTTGATTTTACCTTTCAACCATTTGATCGATGTTACCTCTATTTTTTGACCATTTAATCGATGTTGCCTCTATTTTTCAACCATTTGACTGGTTTTATAGTGAATTTCTAGCCGTCTTTCATTCACCTTTATTATTAATGCAATTTTCATCTGCCACGCGTCTTATCTGTCTAGTACTTTTAATCATCGTGTCTCCTCGCGATTTGCGCCGCTTCGCTATCTGCGCCCCCTTTAATTCTCCCCACCGTTAGATCCCACTTTAATTTAATGGCTATCTTCACCAACTTTTCACCTTATCTTTCTCTGTACTCATATAAATACCGTACTTTGGATTTTTTTGCTTTTTCTCCACCTTTGCAAATCTCGAGTTTTCTTTTTGTGCCCTAAATTTCTTCTGCAAATCAAGTTTTCTTGCTTCAGGCGCTTTCAATCCTCTTCGTCTCCAAGTTTTCCGGCGATCTTCTCCTCTGCGACTATGAGTAAGTATTTTGAACTCCTAATTTTATGTTCATGTGTTTTTATTGTTGCGATTTACTGATTTTCTTTTTCGGAATTTCATTCATGTCCTCTCCTTCAAATATTCTTCCTTTTTCTCCCCTTTTCATCTTCGAAAACCTGAAAGTTCTTCCCTTTAACATCTTTTTTGACATCTCTCTATTGTTTTTCAGATTCCGCTGCTTCCTCTGAGAACACTCGCCGTTCTGGCAAAGACATGACCAACCCGTCATCTTCCCCAATTCGCCGACCTATTCCTCATTCTGTATCCAACTCTGTTGACGAGGTTTATAACCCCGTTCCCCTCAATGCAATTCGTCTTTCTGACCACTCGACACCTCCTCTTCCTCCCCAACCTCATCGTCTGATTGATGAATCGAACGATGATACTCTCGACAACATTCCCCTTAAGTGTCGTCGACCAGTGTTTGGGGCCTCTGATGCTGTCGAGGAGGACTTAGACGCTGTTGAGGCCTCTCGTCAAGTTGACGAGGATGACATTCCCCTTTCTCGCCATTCTGTCTTTTCCAAAACTACCTCTTCGACCCCGCGTAGCTCATCAAAAACCAAATCCAGCCCTGCTGCCACTTCTTCCAAGCCTGTGTAGAAGAAGAAGAAATCGACCAAAGCTTCCTCCTCTCTTGTAGCAGGATGGATAGATGTCAAAGATGTCGGCCATCCTGTTGGTTGGGTTTTTAGATCACCTGGCCCTCGGGATACTTTCGACCAGCCCCCTGAAAATAATTATACCTTTTTCGAAGTCCAATTTAAACTCGGGGTCCCGCTTTCCTTTGTATCATTAAGACCTGCTCGATATTTGTGACTGCTTTGACCTTCCACTGAACCAACTTCCTCCTAACGCTATCCGATTTATAACCACGTTTATTATCCTCTGTCACCTCCGTCTAGGTCGACTCGACCTAGCCTTTTTCCATTACTGCTACACGCCCTCGAAACATGCTCAAGGACTTTACCTTAAAAGCCGCAATGATGTCCACTTCATCTCCAACACCCCCTCCAATGTTCCAAAGTGGAAACATCGATTTGCCTTTGTCGAGCCTAACCCTACTTTCCCTTGGGCGCCAACTCCTTGGCTTAAGGAGCTCAAGTGTGAGCTTGCCCTTCCTCTTCAAAACTCCCTCTTCGACCAACGGATTGCCGTATGGAACACCAAGCCCGTTGCGTAAAAAACACTCCTCGAAAACGACAATCTCTTACACTTCTGCGGCCTCCTTACTCACAAATCCCTATCTTCTCCTACCCAAGAAACTCTTGATCTAGTCCTCATCAAGGACGATCCAGGTATTTTTTGCTTACCACGCTCGAGCATTGTTGTTTTTATTTTATGCGTATGACTTATTTGTTGTAATGTTAACTTAATTTGCACGGGTTTTTGCAGAGATGCCTACAATTCCCTTGCCTAAGAGGAGGATTCCTCTGAAGAAGAAACCCGCTGAAGGGTCGAGCTCGAGGCCTGCAGGCTCGACCACCTCTCAGTCCAATCGCTCCACTTCACCACCGCCCGATCACACAACTTCATCTGTGGAGGTTGAACCTCGTACCACCTCTGAGGTCGAGCCTCTCACCACTGCTGAGGTCGAACCCCACTCCACTGTTGAAGTCGAACTTCAATCTACCTCTGTTCAAGATCCTCTCCTCGACCAACAATCCGAACGGCCTGCTTCTCCAACACTGGTCTCTCCTCCTCCTTGTTCGACTACTCCTATCATCCATATACCTGCCTCCCTTGAAGACCAGCTGGTCGAGGAGACTCAACTAAAGCGCCCATTTGTCGAGGAGGATGAGGAGGCTAACAAGCACTCCCGTCTCGAGGAGACTGCTGTCAGTACTCGCCCCTCCACCGTCTCACTGACCAAGCTTGATGGCACAGGGGTATCATCCTTCCTTCAGGACATTCTTCTCGTCATCGACCTTCCGAACAACCACCCTGATGACGGTCACACCCTCCACAATCGGGGTGACCGCTTCGCTCGATGGTTGGCACAGGTAACTTTTACGGCCTTTTAATTATCTTCCTTATTTTACTTCTTTTTGCCATTTGTGTGTTAACTCTCTTTATTATCATCACTCGCAGGGAATGGTCGAGCTTGCTCCTATAATCGAGCAAACCCTCTCCAGCTCGAGCCAATCTATCCCTGCGATCGAGCAGGGATCCTTCCATCTCCGGAATAGGACGGACGAGCTTGTTCTTCGGGGTTACGAGCTCCGCGAGAGGGTGAAGGAAGAATCGGCAAAAGCCAGGGTCCTACAATAAAAAAAAGAGATGCTCGAGGGGGCACTTGAGGCCGAACGAGCTGAGAAGAAGGCTCTCCAAGCAGCGCTCGAAGAAGAAAAGGCTGCTCGAGGGCGTGAGAAGACTGCTTTTGAGCAAATGGCGAAGAATCTGGTCGATGGGGCTGCTCTTCGAGCCCGACGGATGGTTTGGCATACCACTGTCGGGCAACGCTTCCTGCAGGCGTACCGCGATCAAGTGGTGGCTGCTTTCAAGCAGTCGCCACAGTATTTGAAGGGAGTGCAAGAGTACGGCATGCAATGTTTCCAGTCGATCATGCAAAAGGCAGGCCAACAGATAGCCGAGGATGATTTTGAGGTATTTAATGTGGCGGCTATCTGAGATGACATGCCTAAAACCCCTGCTGACTATAATAGTGCCCCTGAGTTGCCTTTCGACCATGACTGGTGGTCAGGTCTCCTTGATCTTGTCGTGAACAGTGATGAGGTACTAAAGAGAAACTTCGCTCTGCCTGACGACTATACTCCACCCACTACCATGAAGCGGGTGATCGCCGAGTCCATTCGTCAAAACCCGCTGTCTGATGAAACCGAATCGACCTCTGGCTCAAGTCAGCAGGTCGAGCAACCACAGCTCGAGCAAACCTCGCAGAATCCTGATAATACTGCTTCTTGAAGTTGTTGTAATTTAACTTTTGCTGAGAAATGTACTCCTTTGTTTCTGAATGAATTGGTATTTTTGCTTGTGTTTATTGAATTTTCCTGTCTCCTGTTTCGAGTCACCCTTTTAATCGTAA